GCAAATAAACAATTTTGTACAAGAAATTTAACACATTCTGTACAATTTCTTCACTTTGCTGTCATCATTTGTACAAACTCTTCATAGTTTACTTGCCCATCACCATCAATATCTGCTTCCCTGATCATTTCATCAACCTCTTCATCTGTTAACTTCTCTCCAAGGTTTGTCATCACGTGATATAGTTCTGCTGCACTAATATAGCCATTGCCATCTTTATCAAACACACGGAATGCTTCTCGAATTTCTTCTTCACTATCTGTATCTTTCATTTTTCTTGCCATCATTGTCAGAAATTCCGGGAAGTCAATTGTGCCATTACCATCAGCATCTACTTCATTAATCATGTCCTGTAATTCTGCTTCTGTGGGATTCTGCCCAAGAGACCTCATTACAGTACCCAATTCCTTTGTTGTTATAGTTCGATCACCATCCTTGTCAAATAGTGAAAAGGCTTCTTTGAATTCTGCAATCTGCTCTTCAGTCAGTTGGTCAGCCATGCTGCAAGCGCTCCTGCTCTCCGAGACGCGACCGCACAACCACTCAGCTCACTCGCTCCACTCGGACTCCCATCTCTTTACTTTTATGAATAATGCAGCAATAAACTTGGGTGTGCTTACATATATTTGAGTAGTGACTCTGGTTTCTTTAGGGTATATTCCCAGTTGTGAGATTGCTGGGTCCAATGCTATTTCTATTTCCAACTTCTTGAGAAAGTGCTAAACAGCCTTCTGTAGTAGCTTTAGCATTGTACATTTCCACCAGCAGTGAATAAGAGTTCCAATCTCTCCACAATCTCACTAGCATTTGTTGTTTGCTGTCCTTTCGAATTTTGCTGTTGTTTCTGGGGTGAGATGAAATTTCATAGTTGTTTTGATTTTCATCTCTCAGATAGGTAGGAATTTTGATCATTTCTTTGTGTTTGTTTACCTCTGGATTTCTTCCTTGGTGAAGTGTCTTTTCATAGCTTGTACACATTTTGCATTTGAGTTACTTACCTTTTTCTTGTGTGCTTGAGTATTCTGTAAGTTTTAGATGTGAGTCCCTTAACAGATATGTCATTGTCAAATAATTTTTCCTGATCTGTGAGTCTCCTTTTTACCCTGTTGGAGAGGTTTGTTGATATGCATAGGGATTTGATCCTTAGAAGGTTCCTTTGATCTATTTTATTCTGTCCTTTGATCAGTTCTTAAAAGATATACTTCCAAGGGAGCTCTGGTGGCCTAGTGGCAAAAAGCTGCACTGCAATCCCAGAGGCACGTGGTTCAAGTCCACCAGATGCTGTGCTGGAGAAGGAGGGGCAATGTCCTCCTCCTGTACCAGTCAGATCTGATTTGAGAGTACACACACACAAAATAATAAAATAAACATAAAATAAAAAATATACTTCTTTTCAGCAGTTTAGAAAGGCTCTTTTGTGCCTCCTCTCTGAAAAGGTGTTTTCCATCACCATGGATTATTGTTGTTGTTGTTGTTATGTGTCGTCAAGACACCTGTGACTCATAGTGACCCTATGCACAATAGCCCTAACCTCTGCTCTGTCCTGTGCTAATCTCACTGTCTTCGACACACCCATCCCAATTACCCCAGTCACTGAATCAACCCACCTCATAGAGGGCCTTCCCCTCTTGTGCCTGCCCTCCACCCTCCCAAGCATGATGTCTCTCTCCAAGGACTGTTATCTCCTTACAACATGACCAAAGTATGTCAGACGAAGCCTCATAATCCTTGCCTCCAAGGAGCAGCCTGGTTCAATCCTCTCCAGGATGAATCTGTTTGTTTTCTTAGCAATCCACGGTACCCTCAATATTTTTCTCCAGCACCACGGCTTGAAGGCATCAATTCTTTTTTATCATCCCTTGTTATTGTCCAGCTCTCTGAAGCATAGCAAATGATTGCAAAGACCATGACATGTATCAGCCACACCTTAGTCTCCAGACGGACATCATTGCTCTTTAGTATTTTAGAAAGGCCTCTAACCACAAACTTTCCCATCGCAATAAGTCTTTTAATTTCCTGGCTGCTGGTGCCAAGAGTGTTGATTGTGGAGCCAAGCAAATAAAACTGTGAACAATCTCAATATCTTCACCATCCATCCTGATGCTGTCTATCAGCCCAGTGGTGAGAATCTTTGTTTTCTTGATATTGAGCCTCAATCCATACTGAAGGCTGTAGTCCCTGACCTTCCACAGTAAGTATTTCAGGTCCTCCTCAGTTTCAGTAAGCAGGATTGTGTCATCTGCATAATGCAGATTGTTGATGAGTCTTCCTCTAATTCTGATGCTGCATTTCTCCTTATAGAGACCAGCAGTTATAGTTAATTGATGCATGTTGTTGGGTACTGTTGAGTCAGAACTCACTCACAGCTGACCGTCCAGCAGGTTTTCCCACAGGAGGTGATTGCCCATTTTTCTTCTGCAGAGAAGCTGGTGGATTCATACTGCATGCCTTTGGGTTAGTGGAATTCCTTACCAGTAAGTCACCAGAGCTATAGTAGTCTGCTAAATGATTTTGCCACAAACTTGTTTATCCAACATAGGCTTTTTAAATTTTTTCTTTTCTGACTTGTTAAATTCATTTTGATAAAGTTTATAGAGATTTAGGGGTTTCCATTCATTCATTGTTGCATTTTTCTCCCTACCCACCCCCTCCACCCCAATTTACTCTTCTCTTTGAAAAGTAAAAGAAAAATGCTTTCATTGTTATTCAGTCCCTCCCCCCAAGGCCACTCTGTGCAGTCTTCCTTCAGGACTCCTGTCATGACAATAATACCCAATCATATATCTTTTTTTAAACAGATCTCTCCCTCATCTGTATCCAACATGTTTTAGAATAGCTTTGTTCCCTTCTTTGAATCTAGAGATTGATTTTTTAAACACAATTAACGTGTTTTATTCAATTTTGATAAAGAGGATTTGAGGGAAAGGTAGGGCAGGTGTGGTTCCTTCCAATATATTCCCTTGTTCTTCAGTGTTGCAGTTGCTGTTGTTAGACGCTATTAAGAAGAGTACCACTCAACGACCCTCTGGACCCTATTTTATGCCATCCTCATCATCTCTGTGTGGCAGTAAGGAGCTCTGGGGTGAGAATTTGTAAGATGCTTTGGTTGTTTGAATCCACTTGGTACTCTGTGGGAAAAAGATGGGCAATGTTTGTGCATGGACAGCCTTAGACTCAATTATTGCTGACTGAATAGTAATAATTTCGAGTTTAAAAATCCCCAAAAGCCCAAGACAATAAATTTCTGTCTTTGAAAGCCATCTGTGGAGTTCAAAGTCTAGGAGAAAGTGCTTTTTCTGATACTTCTGGGTAAAAGTCGTCCCCCCCCTTTTTTTTTTCTACATCTCTAGGCCCAGAATCCCTTGGAGATCACCATATGCCTTAGCCTTTTCCTGTGTTGAGTTTTCTAGCACTGAGATGCGGGTGCAAAACTTATATTCCCCTAGTCACTGAGCCACTGCTGAGAACTCAACTGCCTCACCCTCCAGCCCTCTGGCTTTCCCATACTCAGTGCCCTCTGCCAGCCTTTTCCAGCCTCAGCCTTCCGAAGGCCTGTTCCACTGAAGAAAGGAATCATATCATATGTCTGTTATCCAGAACCTCCTTTTCAACCCCTTTGCTGATGCAAGTAAGGGTGGTGACCTGCTTCCTGCTGGGACAGAGGATTATATGCGTATAAGAATTTAACAGCAAAACGGCAAGAAGAACCTCACAATTGTCCAAGGGATCACTGATGATTACGATAAAAAGAAACTAGGGAAGGTGTTTAAGAATAAATTTGCATGTGATTGAGCATCTAGAATATGTAGAAGTAATTCAGCTACAGGATGACCTGTGTAAGGATGTATGCCAGTTTCTTGTAGAGATTGGACTGGCTAAAGATGAACAGGTGAAAGTTCATGCGTTTTAAGTGCTTGTGGCTCACTGAAGCTTAAGTGAGGATTTCTTTGCAATGAGTAGAAAATTTCCCTTCTGTCCCTTGTCACAAGTTTAAAACCTCACAGGTTGTAAAATGTCACCATTTAGGGTCCGCTTTTAACTTGGACTAGCATGACTCCTTCATGCAATAAACTGAAAAGAGCCATGAGAAAAACGCCCCCAACAACTTGTGTTCCTCTTCTAGATCTTCTGTCTTGGTAGTACTGAGGTCCCCCTTCTCTGCATGTCTTATGCCAAGAAAACTCCTTTCATAAGGTTGAGGTATTACGCAGATGTGATAAAGCTAAAGGGTATTACTTCCCACCCTTAATCATTTTATAACTGATTGCTTGATCAACTCGTGGGTGATCATTACATAATTTCCATATTGTATTATTATAAATGTGTATTTTGGGGAACACAATAAAATTGATGGTGTGTATGCACACACAGACACACACACACACACACACACACGTTATTTACTTTCAAATTGCCAAGTTTGAAGATGATTGTTGTATTAGTCATGATCCAGATACTTCAGGAAAAATGGTACTTTTCTAACCTTCAGATGATGTCACCAATCCTGCTCTTTGTCATTATCTTGTCTGTAAATAATGTAATAATCTTGATATCCCATAAAGCATAACACTGGTGCCTTATATTGGTGACATCTTGCCAACTGACTATTTAAAAGGGATTAGCAAGTACTTTAGTGCTTTGGAAAGCCACATGTGTTCCAGATGGTAGGAAATAGATCCTAATTCTTGTAGCAAGTACTGGACCAATTAAAATATAAACCAAACCTATTGCTGTTGAGTCTATTCCAATTCCTGGTAGCCCTACCTGTGTTAGAGTGGAACTGTCCTCCATTGGTTTTACAGTTGTTGTTGTTGTTGTTTGATGCCGTCGAGTCGTAGACGACTCATAGCGACCCTATGAACGAACAGCCTGAGCACTGTTCGTACATAGAGTTTCCGGAGGCAAGCCATTTCGGAAGTGGATGACACTCTTGCTTCCAGGCTTGATTTAGTTGGGAAGCTCCAGCCAACACTGTCCACCCTGGGTACCCATTACCATAATTGGCACATCACTGTCACAGTCTTCAGCATCATAGTAACCATGAGTTACCTCTGTACAGCAACACACAGACCAGTGTTACACCACCTAGAAGAATGTTTGACAGGAAAACAAATTGAACCTGCCCTCGGGCCCTTTGGGCTTAAGGTCGCCTCCTGGTTCAAACCCTAGTCTGAGGCTGGCTAGCCTCACTCCTGGGGACAGAGCAAACCTGCATGTCAAACACATGCCTGGAAAAGCAGTCGACTCTAAAAGTTTGCCATGACTCCTGCGCTCACACCACCATGCTCCGTCCTTCTGTCAAGCAGAACTTCCCAAGACCCTGGGAGGAGCCAGCCCACCAGGAACAACATGGCTGCTTCCTCTCCTCTCCTCTCCCAGCTGCCTTTGGGCTTAAGGCCGCCTCCTGGTTCAAACCCTAGGCCCAGGCTGGATAGCCTCACTCCCGAGGACAGAGCAAACCTGCATGTCAAACGCATGCCCGGAAAAGCAGTCGACCCCAAAAGCTTGCCACAACTCCTGCTCTCACACCACCATGCTGCAATAATTTTTTTTAACTGGGATTTTTTAAAATTATTTTTTGTATGTGCACTGTCAAATTGGATCTGACTGGTACAGGAGGAGATTGCGCCTCCTTCTCCAGCAGAGAATCTGGTGGATTCGAACTGTGTACCTCTGGGACTGTGGTGCAGCTTCTTACCACTAGGCCACCGGAGCTCCCTATTGACTGTAATCTTATGGGAGCAGACCATTTAGTCCTTCTTTCCTGAGGCTGCTGGGTAAATATGAACCCATAAACTGCTGAATTTTGCATTAGTAATCCAAATCAGACATGGCCCAGGAAACCACATTAGACATTTCAAACAAGAGATTTCATTCAGGGCATTATTTACACATATACTGTTGGTGGTCATCAAGTCAAGAAGCCTAAAAGAACAAAATTTGTTGTTGGATTAACACAAAAATTAGCAATTGCAGGACATAGCTACCACCCTAAAGACTGAGAGAGCAAAAAAGAAGAAGTGTTGAGATCAGCAGAAACTAGGAACTTGAATAGCTATTGCAATTTAGAAATTACTGTGAAGCTAGTACTGGGATGCCTCTGGGCCAGTGCTTAGAGAGAAAAGGGATTTCTTCTTCTGTCCTTCGACCTTCTAGCCTTCCACCAGCACTTCCTGATGACAGAATTTATAAAGAAATAAAATTACAAGGGAGTCTGGAAAAAGTAGTAAACATATCAGAGAAGCATGGGCAACTAAATTGAACCCATTGCCATGTGTTGTTAAGTGCCATCGAATCAGAACCAATTTGTAGCTGAGCAGATTTCCTATCTTTCTCCAATGGTGCAGCTAGCTGATGGATTCAAAATACTTGACTTTGGGTTGGCAGCGGAACTGTAGGGTAACTACAAGCCACCTAGTGCCATCGAGTGAATTCCAGCTCACAAGCAACCCTGTGAAACAGAGTAGAATCTCTTGGACTTTCAAAGCTGTAATCTTTTATGAAAGCAGATTAACCATCTGAGTGCTTACTACTAAATCACTTGGACTCCAGCTTAAGCACCATACCACCTTCCACAGTGATTGCACCATTTTACACTCTCACCACATCCTCGCCAGCATTTGTTGCTTGCTGTTCTGTTAAATTTTGCTCTTCTGACTGG